GGGCCAAGGGCGCTCAGATCTCTTCTCCAAAGAGAATCTTCGCTTTTCCCCTCCCCCAACCCCCTCCCCAACCAAAATTTTGCCGGCCCGCCCCCCCCCCCCACCCATGTCGGCTGGCCCAAAATCCTGTCCGGCGGGCATTGAAATTTTCGGGGTTCGTCGGCGTCCAGCTCCATGGGTCAATTTTTGTCCAAGTCATCCAGCAGGCCCCCCTCAGCCTGAGACTAGCCTCAGGCCCAGTCCCTGCCCGCCTGCTGGCGTGTCTTACGTACAGCTCAGTAGTCCGGCTGCCCAGCAGCCAGCAACCCACCCATGGCTTCGCAGCCTCGTGGCTGAGACTAGCTTCAGGCCCAGCCCAACCAGCAACCCGCCTAAGCAAACCCCAAGCCCACCCTGTTTGAGACTCGCAGGCCTCAGCCTATCTAGCGCCGAGACTGGGCCTTGCCAGCCTGGGCTCAACTAGCGTCTAGCCTAGCCCAGTCCGCCTGCTGGCCAGGCCTGTCTGACGTGTCTGAAACTGGCCTCAGGCCCATCTGACTTGTCTGGAGCCAGCTTCAGGCCCAGCCCAACCAGCAACCCGCGCGAGCAAGCCACAGCGACTGGCTTCAGGCCAGCCCAACCAGCCACCCGCCCTAGCAAGGCCCAGCCCAGCCCGCCCTGCCCAGGCCCCAGGCGCAGGCCTGCCCCAACCAGCAGCCTGGTCCGGCGCATGGCATCAATTGGCCCAACGTGCCCCAGCCCTTCACTCCGGCTGCCCAAGCAGCGCAGCGAACTGGTGCGGTCACAAGCTTTCAGTAGGATTCGGACCTTCCCAACACTGGATTTCGGTGTTCCTGACCCTTCCCTCAAACTAGGCTGGGCCGAGGCGGGCAGCGCGAAGCGTTTACAATAACTATCCCCACAAACACAGCCAATGTCCTCTAGAGACAATCCTCCAGAGACATCCAATAAGATATCTTGCGAGACATGGCCAAAAGACGTGCACAAAAAATCCCAGCAAACCCTGGAATATCCTAAAGACTCAAGCAACGGCGCTCCAAACAGGATCCTAAAAACATTCCCACATCTGCAAAATAATCCTCACAAAAGGCCCAAAACATTCCCAAATTCCTGAAAGCCACAAAAAGCCCACATTCCATACAAAGGCCATGCCAGGAAACTTGAAGCGCGTTCCTCTACAGTGACTGCCACGAATTGAAGTACTGCGCCTGTGAAATTGAACACTCGCAGCCGCGAACGCATCACATCGCACAAACAGGACGGTGCTCCACATTTCAAGCAAACAAAATAGACATCCCTGGAACGCAAATCGCGAGCCAGCGAGACCTCTCAAAACACGGTGCCACAGCAAAACGATGCTGTAAAAACCCTGTCAAAGCTGCAATTTAGATGCAGGCACAATGCAAGCAACACTTAGTCATTCCAAGTGCTCCGATGTCCGGCTCTCCATTGGCACCGCGAGCGCTTTACACTGCGCATAGGTCTTCTCCAACCCAAGACCGCAAACTGCAATCGTTAAAGGGGGAATCCTGCTTCACATCTAGAAACACGCACTTGCCATGAGCTCATCCTGAATTGAACCTTGGGAAATGCGGAGAAAAACAAGAAAGACCGTTGCCTTGGCATAGGTGTCCATAGCCTGCTTCAGCTGCTGAGTCTCATGGCTGGATTTGTCTTCGATGTGCGTGAGGCGCACGAAAATCTCAGAGACGTAGTGGTCAAAGAAGGCCTTCATCTCAGAGAGTATGTTGTGATTCATCGTGCCAATGGAACTCAGAATCTGCTGGTCACCTCTCTTCACTGCGTCTTCCACGCAAGCGAGATCGCAGTAAACTTTGGCCATGGTGTTCTGCAGTGGGTTGCAGTCAGCGAAGTCGCTCTCAATGAAGCGCTTGTTGCGGTAGTCTTGTGTAACCTCGAGCGCATACAAGGCGCCACCTTGTGCGTTGGCACCTATGGATTCACAAATGTCGCTGACTTCGTTCTTGGTGCCGGCATAGGCAGCTATGGCTCCAGCCAAGGTTATGACCCCAACAATGGAAGAGCAAATGGTCTTGTAAGCTGGCTCGAAGGCGTTCTCGAAGTAATCTGTTGCCATGTCAGTTTGCCTCTCCCAATTCGCCATCTTCCAGCCTCGATTGATGTCACGCGTGCTGCAGTCCCAAACTGCATCAGCGGTCAAGCCAGGAAAGGATGGATTGGCCTTGGACCATACCTCAGCGGAAACTTCATTTGCACGCTCGCACGCCCACCAGCTGAACCCGACTGTGCAAATGACACAAGGGCAACGTCAATCTCAGTCCGACCAAACCTCTCTGGGCCCAGTGTTCAAGCATCCCCACTTACGAGACGACGCTCAAACCGCGACAAAAAGCGACATTCCAGCCAACAACCGAAAAAAAAAATGAAAAAAAATAAATCCCACAACAAAAAGCAACCATCACCGACTAACTCGTAAGGAAAGAAAATGAAAAGAGAATGAAAAGGAAATGGAAAGGAAATGGAAAGGAAAAAGGAAAGTGCAAAAAACATGGAAAGGACATGGAAAGGGAAATGGAAAGGAAATAGAAAGGAAATGGAAAGGAAAAAAAAGGCAATGAAAAGGAAATTGAAAGGAAATGGAAAGGACATGGAAAGGAAATGGGAAGGAAGTGGAAAGGAAATGGAAAGGAAATTGAAAGGACATGGAAAGGACATGGAAAGGAAATGGAAAGGAAATGGAATGAAGTGGAAAGGAAATGGTAAGGAAATGGAAAGGACATGGAAAGGAAATGGGAAGGAAATGGAAAGGAAGTAGAAAGGAAGTGGAAAGGCAATGGCAAGAAAATTGACAGGAAAAGAAAAGCACATGGAAAGGACACGGAAAAGAAATGTAAAGGAAATGGAAAGGAAGGATTCCATTTCATTTCCATTTCCTTTCCGTTTCCTCCCCGTTTCCTTTCCAGTTCCTGTCCAATTCCTTTCCGTTTCCTTTCCGTGTCTCCAAACCAAAAGATCTGGCCCCTTCGTTCCACTTCCTTTCCATTTCCTTTCTACTTCCTTTCCATTTCCTTACCATTTCCTTTCCATGTCCTTTCCATTTCCTTTCCATTTCCTTTCCATTTCCTTTCCATTTCCTTTCCATTTCCTTCCATGTCCAATCCATTTCCATTCCTGTCCATTTCCTTTCCATTTCCATTCCATTTCTTTTCCATTTCCTTTCCATTTCCTTTGCATTTCGTTTTTATTTTTGTTTCCACTTCCTTTCCACTTCCTTTCCATTTCCTTTCCATTTCCTTTCCATGTCCGTTAGTCGCTGTTTTGTTTAAGTTGTTGTTTTCTTAGTTGTTGATTGTGTTTCTTTGTTGTTGATTGTCTTTTTTAGTTGTTGATTGAGCGCCACCTTTTCACATATTAGAGGCAATTGGTAGTTAGTGCCAGGAGCGAACCCTCGGATGATGGATTTGTGACGGACACGCAAGTAGTGTATGAGAATTAGCAAAGAACTTGGAGCAGCGTCCCGTTGCATATTTCATGTAGAGCGAACCGGCGAGCTGTCAGTTGTGAAAGCGGCATTGCGTGAGTTGTCCTCGCATATTTGAGCACAAGTTGCATGTCTTCACGGCGAATTCCAAGTCACAAGTATTGATCTCCCCCTCCAAAAACACAGTTCAGTTGGATGTTGTTTCTTCAGTCGCATTGTCGGGTTCGCATCTCAAGCTGTGCGCAATGGGTCGGGTTCGCTATGGTTTCCTGGACACTGGTGGCGTTTACCTGACATACAACTGCTCACCGGTGTCCAATCTGCAGCATCCATCTCGGTAGTAAGCTATCAACTGTGTCAACAGTTGCACTGAGATCGTTGATGTCGCACCTGGTTTAATACTGGTACCCGGATTTATGTCAAGTTTTCTCGGCTTAAACACGACCCCCCCCCCCAACTGTTTCGGTACCATGATTTATGTCAAGTTCAAACTCCCAAACGCAAGAAACCTGAGCAAAGAACACTGTTGGCTGATTCCTCCTCTCAGCTTCATGGCTCAATTCCAGAGTCAAAGATCAACATCCTTCACTTAAATCCATCCAAAAACACTCCCAAAACAGTTCTGCAAAGGGGGTTGCCCATAAGGGGCCCTGATCATCTTTAAAAGGCACTACTGTATCTGGGTACCACATTTGATGTGTGGGTGGGAAATCTGAAAGGAAGTCCGGGCAATACTATATAAGTTATATAAGTTTAAACTAGGCCATACTACAGTAAGCACTGGGAATCCAAAAGGAAGTCTTGCCAATACTAAATTAGACTGGGCAATACTGCATCAAGTGCTGGGAATCAAAAAAGTAGGTCCTGGCAATACTAAATTCAAACTAGGCAATACTAAACGACGCACTGAGAATCTGAGAGTAAGTCCTGGCAATAATGCACTTAGACTACGCAATACTAAACTAAGCTCTGGCAATTCAACAGGAAGTGCTGGCAACACTAAACTGAGTAGTGGCAATACTAAAGCAATACTTAAGTCACCCAAGCTCCCTCCCAGACCTAAATTCCGGATCCCCGAGCACTGTTTTGACTGTTGAGGGGGGGGTGGGGGCAGCAAATCAAACAAGGTCCAACATTTAGCTGCTTCGCTATTATGTTCATTTGCAAATTGCGGTGGCAAGGCGTGCATCGACACTATCCAAGTTGCGTGTGGCTCTTGCCAATCCGTGTTCTTCTTTCCTGGTACCCCGTCTTCTCCCCAAGTTTCCACTGCCGCGGCGCCAGTGCTGTCCACTCCGAGAGCATGATAGCAAGCACCCACAACGTCTTTCTGCTTCTCCTGATTGCTGAGGTAGTGCTCGCCCTCAACAGGCTCAGCACCAATGATCTTTTCCCGACTCTCACGTGCCAGGCAGTGAGGAGCGTAGCTCACAGGCTCTGGCGACCAGTTCAAGACGGTCTCTGTGACGCTGCGCCTCTCCAACTCCTTCCTCTCGCCTTCGAAAGGCTTGAACTCCGCCTCCTCAAACTTTGCCATCTCAAACTTGGCCTTCGGGATCTTTGGCAGCTTCTTGAACTTTTTATTGCCCAAGCCGCCGTTGCTTCCGGCCCGGGATTTGGCCCCCTGCCCCTGACCCAAAAGGCTTTGGTCCATCTGATCACGCCCGACCTCCACTGCCCCATTGCCCGTAAAGGCGGTGGTCATTGGCTCCAAAGGCGTGTAATCCACACCCTCTTGCAGCCCCGCACCCAACTCCAGCGGATGTGCAGCGACAGAAGAGGAGCACAAAGGTGCAAAAGACTTCGACTTCGACTTCAAGCACCACGCGCCTGAAAGCCGATCAAAGGACACCTTCATGGCATCGGGGTCAATCTTGGTCCAACAATCCGAGACGCTCCAATCAGCTCGTCCGCAAGAGGTACTCTTCCTATAGTAACATTTGTTTCCTGTCCACTGAAAACCGGCACACTCGGTATGAGCTGCGCAAACTTTGCCGCAGATTGCCTCAGCCAAGCCCCTGGGCGCATAGTCCCATCCTCAGATCATATTGCAAAGAGTCCTGAAACCGGTCAAGGCCCTAATGCAGGCAAAGTCTCGCTCGCCATTGGCCCCACAATAGGCCTGACCGTCTAGGGAACCGCACCAACCGCACGATTTGCCCGGCTCCAAGGTGAATGGGAGGCTCCAGTCCTGGCAAGCTGTTGCGGGCGCTCAAAGAGCACAGCACTATGCTCGACGACGTGTACACACACACACACATTGTGGCTTGAATGGTCGGTGTTAGCTAACACGCGCTGCCATGCAACCCCTGTTCCATTTGCTGCTTATTCCTTTACATGTCTTTTCCGTTCATGTCCAAGTGCCTTCCATGTACAAAAACCAGTTCCTTGCATGCCTCTTTTGTGTCCTTATACAAATTATTCTTACTTTCCAAACCTTTGGCAGAGCCGCCAAACTGCCAAGTTTCTCCCAATCGCTGAGCAGCGATTGAAAGCCACGCCAAGCATAAACCCGTCCCCGAGTCCCCAACTGCAACCGGAACCCTGCGAAAACCCGAGCTCCGCTCGCGCTGCAAATCCCGAACTCGGAGCCTAATCGTACCCATGAAACTTTCGACACGCTGCGCCAGCGCCTCCCGGAGCCCAATCCAGCAACATGGAAATAAATATCCGGCGGATCCAAAACCGAGCCAACCCCGGAACCTTGACCAGCCACTCCATTGGAACCCAAAAAACACCAGTGTTCACACTCTTATCCTACACTAAAATGTGTTGAATTCCAAGCGGCGGTCTTCTTAGAAGTTGTGTGCTCTAGTTGGGGCCTCAAAATGAAATCCTCCTCAGTGGCCATTGTGTAAGCATGCGCGCCTGAGAGCTCATAAGCATGCAGCATGGGCAAGCCAGCAAACAAGAAAGCAGGACGGCAGGAAAACAAGCAGGGAGGCAAGCAGGGAAGGAAAGAGCAAGGAAGAACAGGCAAACAAGCAGGAGCGAAAGAAACATAACAGCTAGCCACATGAAACCACCTCGGCCTTGCGCTTGGGAAACGCTTGCGCGGAACTTGCAGGAAATGTCACGAGTCAAAACGGCAAAAAAGGTGCATGTCTTTTGGAGCAACCAACAACAACCCCCCCACGTAGATTCAAACACACTGATGCTGGCACTGCTGCTTCGAGCCACCGTGAACACTGCAGTTTTGACTTGCGCGAAGACTTTCCGAAACCCTGAAATCCCCGAACACATTGAAAGTTTGCCCCGTTTTTTTGACTCAGGTGTTAGGGACAAGCGCAAACTGGCATGTGAGAACTGCCCGCGTATTGCGCGTGTGAATCATGGCCAGTCCAGGCCGGGCCGCCCACACAAACACAAACACACCCACAAACACACACAAATACACACGGACAATCACACATACAGACGCGCACACACAGCCTGACATAGATACACACGCACACACAGACGCAGACACCGACAAAACCACAAATACAAACGCAACCACACATACAAGCACAAACACAAACGCAAACACACAAACACCATCACAACTAGATCACAACCACACACACACACCGACACACAAAAACGCACACACACAAACACACAAACAACCGCACACACAAACACACACACAGACACACAGACACACAGACACACAGACACACAGACACACAGACACACAGACACACAGACACACAGACACACAGACACACCGACACACAGACACACAGACACACAGACACACAGACACACAGACACACAGACACACAGACACACAGACACACAGACACACACACACAGACACACAGACACACAGACACACAGACACACAGACACACAGACACACAGACACACAGACACACAGACACACAGACACACAGACACACAGACACACAGACACACAGACACACAGACACACAGACACACAGACACACAGACACACAGACACACACAGACACACAGACACACAGACACACAGACACACAGACACACAGACACACAGACACACAGACACACAGACACACAGACACACAGACACACAGACACACAGACACACAGACACACAGACACACAGACACCACAGACACACAGACACCCAGACACACAGACACACAGACACACAGACACACAGACACACAGACACACAGACACACAGACACACAGACACACAGACACACAGACACACAGACACACAGACACACAGACACACAGACACACAGACACACAGACACACAGACACACAACACACACAGACACACAGACACACAGACACACAGACACACAGACACACAGACACACAGACACACAGACACACAGACACACAGACACACAGACACACAGACACACAGACACACGACACACAGACACACAGACACACAGACACACAGACACACAGACACACAGACACACAGACACACAGACACACAGACACACAGACACACAGACACACAGTCACACAGACACACAGACACACAGTCACACAGACACACAGACACACAGACACACAGACACACAGACACACAGACACACAGACACACAGACACACAGACACACAGACACACAGACACACAGACACACAGACACACAGACACACAGACACACAGACACACAGACACTCAGACACACAGACACTCAGACACACAGACACACAGACACACAGACACACAGACACACAGACACACAGACACACAGACACACAGACACACAGACACACAGACACACAGACACACAGACACACAGACACACAGACACACAGACACACAGACACACAGACAACCAGACACACAGACACACAGACACACAGACACACAGACACACAGACACACAGACACATAGACACACAGACACACAGACACACAGACACACAGACACACAGACACACAGACACACAGACACACAGACACACAGACACACAGACACACAGACACACAGACACACAGACACAACGACACACAGACACACAGACACACAGACACACAGACACACAGACACACAGACACACAGACACACAGACACACAGACTCACAGACACACAGACACACAGACTCACAGACACACAGACACACAGACACACAGACACACAGACACACAGACACACAGACACACAGACACACAGACACACAGACACACAGACACACAGACACACAGACACACAGACACACAGACACACAGACACACAGACACACAGACACACAGAGACACAGAGACACAGAGACACAGAGACACAGAGACACAGAGACACAGAGACACAGAGACACAGAGACACAGAGACACAGAGACACAGAGACACAGTCACACAGACACACAGACACACAGACACACAGACACACAGACACACAGACACACAGACACACACAGACACACACAGACACACACAGACACACACAGACACACACAGACACACACAGACACACACAGACACACACACACAGACACACACAGACACACACAGACACAGACACAGACACAGACACAGACACAGACACCGACACAGACACAGACACACACACACGCACACACACACACACACACACACACACTTAAACTCCAGATGGAGGGTGCTAATCTTTCGAGCACAACTGATGAGTCTCGAGTACAACTGATGAGTCTCGACTGGGTTCTGCTCGCAATGCACTCGGCTTCCCTTCCCTCTAGCAGCGAACACGTTACCCGAAAGAACAAGAAGCACAAACAGCGCCGCAACCAAGGGGGCCAAAAGGACTTTGAATCACACGAGTTGCGCAGGTACGCTGGGATGATCAGTCCCAGTATCACCACCGATGGCAAGTGTCTTCGTTGGCAGGAGACTTGCCATGGTGCCTCAATTGTGGTGACAGGGTATTCTGCCACTCCGCACACACACGCCCCTGAGTGAGGGGCGAGAAGTCTCTTTTTCTGCAGGAAGATCACATGCTCAACTCCTTAACTCTTTAACGTCTGCCAAAATATCCACAGCGGCGAGGAGAGCGCGAAACTGCACGAAGCCGCTCAGAAGACGGGGACGAAAGATCTCCACGATGAGCATGACGTGTGCCGCCATAGAAGACCGGATGAAGTTGCAAAGCAGTCGAGCGATCACCGTCAGAAATAGGGGGGGCATAGGTGAACATCTCCTCGACCCGGATGATGTCCGAATTCTGCACGTCAACAAGTGGTTGATCCTGAGCTTGATGAGTGGAGAAGGACTCAAAGCGAGATAGAATGCGTTGGTAACCTTGATGTTGCCAGTCGCGAATTGTCCATGCCTGACTGGGTTCACCAGTCCCATCGATTGGATCAGTTACCCGTTTTCCACTCCCGAAACGAGTTGTCTGGTAGGTCAGGTACTGCCTCTTCTGGGTGCCACAGCTGAGGTTGTCCTGGAGTGTAGATCCGCACCCACTCCTGACCTTGATAGATGGAATATTCGAGCCATGGGTCCATGCGTGAAAGACAGGGCGTACCGCAGGTCCCGATCCAGCTAGCAAGGAAACAGTCACCATGCACAACCATGCACAACCAGCAAATACACAAGAAAGCAAGAGCATGAGAAAGCACCCT